TGTTCTTCAGGCATAGGGAGAATCCTTTCCCTGAAGTTGACTCTCCCTCTGCCTGAAGCAGGGTGTTTGTAGCTGAAAGCTTGCAAAGAACAATTTTTCCAACTATTTTAGTTGGTCTAATAAAAAATATCACATTTACCCAAAGAACCTTGTCTGCCTATGTTTTTTTAATTTCTGTTGGTTGAATATTTTTTAGTTAAAAAGTTGATATATTTTGATTAGTTCATATTTTGAGATATACCACCAAATATTCATGGTGGAAAAGAAAATTTGAAATGAAATCTAAACCCCTTTTTTCCAGAATCATTAAAATACTGTGAGTTCTATCTTGTAGGTTTGGTTAAGCGTCTCAGCATAATCCATAGTTAATTCTGAGTGTAATACAATTTGGAGGTGCCAAATAAGAGAATTTCCTCAAACTTTAAAAATGAAGGGAAAGTGGATTAAAGAAGGCAGGGGGTCCGACTTGATGATCTGTTCAGGTCCCTTCCAACCCTACCAACTATGATACTATAAGGAATTAAACGTCTGTGAGGAAACATGATGAACATCACACTGAGGAAATCCCTTTCCTTCCAATCAGTCATAGATAGAATCCCTTTATTTTTTCAGTGGTTGCCAATAGCTGAAAATACAAATCCATTTAGAGTGGATTCTTTCTGGCATAGAACAGTGAAAAAAAATCTTCTAGAGACAAACAAATTATATATATAAAGTTCACAAGCACTTTATTATTGCCTTGGAGCTGTGCAGTAAGGCCCCTAGAGCAATCTCAGAACACAGAGATAAATCTGTCTGCCTCCAGTTGTCTCAGCCTAAGTACTAGCAACTTTGCTATGTTGTGTCCCTCCTTACAGAATTTCTTCCTGGCCTTAAGCAGTAGAGACTCGGTCTTTTTCTTAATATAATGCTACCTGCTGCCAAACCTCTAATGGCTCCATGCCATACAGCTCTCTGTTCTAGAGGTCTGCATTTGGTTTCATAACTTTTTTTCTTTTCTTGATTTTTTTTTTTTTTTTTCCCCCCTTCATAGATGTAGCTTGTAACCGTCTATGGTTTGTTTATTGTTTAAAGCAATTTTATCGTGTGAATATAGGAATGACACACTAGTTTATTTCAGCAAAATCTGTAATCTCTGCTTAACTCTCCTTTCAAATTTAAATTAGATTTACTTGTTAGATTACCACAGACTTGGTGGTATTGCTAAAGAAATGCTGAAGATCTCTGACTTGCAAGATTCCTAGGAGACAGTATGAAAGCCACATGAATCCAAAAAACCTCTTGGGAGTTTTCTGCTAGCTACGTCCCAACACAAGCAAAGGTGTAATTTAATGGTCAGATTTGATGGTAGATAGTCCACTACAGTCCCAATAAGTAATTTATAGTGTCCAAAAGAACAATTATCAAGTTGCATTTCATGTGAAATGGAAGTGGGACTGGCAAAGAGATCTTCTGGCTCTTTGAAATGTCTCATGCTGATTCTTGCAATAATATGAGAAAACATCTGTTGGGCCTTTAAGTCATCTGTCAGCTGTAGTTCAAGAAGTAACTGTAATTAGTGAAGGTGCATTATAGCCCAAACCACTTTTTGTGGCTCTCAGAATAACATACTTAAATGATAGTCATTTTAGTACTCAAACCATTTAAGCAGAGTTATTCTGAAACCTTTGGGAGTATGATTACTTTTCTGTATTTCCTTTCCCTTATCTAGCCACAGCCATTAATAATACCATGTTTCAAGCCATGAAGGAAGGCAGTTGTATGGCTCCTTCAGTGGTTGTTTGCCATAACATTCATAGCCAGCCAGTGAGCAGCAGAGGGTGCACTTCTGCTTACAACTTTTAGTGTCACTTTCTTGATTCCAGGAAGACTTTGAAATCTGCTTCCTAAATTCAGGGGAAATACATTTGAGTTAGTTACTCTTTTCTGATTTTCATAGCACATACCATTAAAGCAAAATCACTTTTTACTTATATGCAGTATTTTGTACTTGCATCCCCCATAGGAAGAGAAATTTTCAGTCTGTAAATCATTGGCCACATGTACTAAGTTTAGCCAGACACCAGCAGCATCTCCTGGATCTAGTCTATTTGTAAATAACCCCTCTTTTCCCCAAAACTGAAATTGTAACGAAGGATTGCAATGCAGAGCAAGTATGTTTGAAGAAAGTTCTCACGGTAGATTTTTTTTAAAGTTAATGTTGACTCATTTGATGGTGTTAGAGTGCACTTTCTACTTATCCCCAGAGGGAAGTTAGTATTCTTTTAAGTGAAACTATTTTAAAAGCAGAACACAAGCCTAAAGTAAGCCAGTGTTCTCTAGAGTTCTCAGAAGGTGTAGATTTATTTACTGTAGTTAAATCATAATTAGTTCTCAGGGGATAGTGTATCTTTTAAACTGCTTTATTGCCACCATATTGGTTTTCTAAATAATCAGAAACTGCTGCTGTTATATTCTGGAGTATGAACAAAAATTGCTCTAAGTAGAAACAAATGTCTGAAATTGCTAGTTGTTGCTCACTGAAGGTAGAAGGGTAGTTAGCTCTGTTAGTCTGAAGTCAGGCTAAGGCAAGGCAAGGTGGCACCTTAAAGACTAGTCACTGAAAACAGTGACACAAGTTAGAAGGAATAAGCACTTCCCTGAGAAAGTCTGAAGAAATGCAACCCACATGTACTTAAAGTAAGCATCTTAACTGAACTATGTATTATTTTTAAGTATTTTAACTTGATAATTTTTCAGTTAGTTTTTTTTAAATCTTCCGGTGCCCTTTTGATATGCTTAGAAATAATAATTGAAAATGAGTAAATCATGCTTTTAATGTGAAATAAAACTAATATTTAAACATTAATGGTAGACCTTTGCTCACTGTTGTAGCTGATAAGTGTGTTCCTAATTGGCAGGTTGATGTTCGAGTTGCCTAAGGAAATGGGTTTAATAGCTATCGCAGTGCGACAAACACAAGGAAAAGGTCAGTAGGTCTTCTTCTAATGCTAATAAAGTAAAATGTATTTAGTGTCGTCAATAGGATCGTTTAATAAATTGCACTGTATCAAGAATATTTCGAATAGTGCAAGATGAATTGATAATAATATAGCAATCATCTTTCCTTTGCCCCACCCCAGTTTTCATATTTATTCCAGCCTAAGTTGATAATGACCAAAAATAATTATTCCGTGGTTATTTGGTGGCTTCTGTGGAATGATCTGCTGTATTTTCTGTTAGAAAGCCTTCCATATAATACAAGTGGTTATCACTACAGTGGAAATAAACTAAAGCAAACCATCTGAATCAGAATCAAAGCTCCCATTTGACTTTATGCCTTGAGTCACCATGGTTTGTGGTGTGGATAAATAGAAGATTTCAATATCCAGCATTTTCAGGAGTACCTTTCACTAGTAGTTTTTCGCTTTAAAAAGAAAAAAAGGAATAGTCATACTACAAAACAGCAAGGAAGTTCTGGAAGCATCTAAGTTCTTTATTTAGGAAGTTTCTATAAACATTATGGGCTGAGCATATAATAACAAAACCACTACCCTCTAAGAAAAAGCAAAGAATTTTAATATAGCTTTTCTTTGAAATAATTTGGGAAACTATTGGATATTTACTTCCTGTAGATTCTCAGATGTAATCTGAGAATAAATGTAATCGGTGAAGAAATATGTTTCTCATCTCCTATTGTCTATATATAATTTTTTGCTCTATATATTAGTGCTTACTCAATTTTGTTTGTTCTTTTGTTTTCCCTATCAGGTCGTGGCGGAAATGTCTGGCTCAGCCCTGTGGGCTGTGCTCTAGGAACTTTGCATCTCTCTATTCCTTTGGACTCCCAGCTAGGACAGAGAATTCCTTTTATTCAACACCTGATGTCTGTCGCTGTGGTGGATTCAGTTAGATCTATACCTGGGTATCAGGTATCCCATTTGGTTTTCATTTGTTTTAAAATGCCCATTATGTTCTTATTTCCATAGAGTTCAGACTTGAACTTGACCTTCAATAGGTAGTGTCACTGATTGTACAAGTTCTAGCTCTCTAATCACTGTACTGTATAATGGCCACCTAAAAGAGTGGATTTAGGCTTTTTGTTTCTTTATTTTATAAATATTTTTTAGCAGATCTGGAGTTTGCCAAATGAGCAATGTCTGCTTTTGCCTAGATTGAGATCACCAAATTAATTTTGCTTGTGATCTGTTGAGCTTTTAAAATTCAGTCTCCAAAGAGGATGAATTTACCGTTTACTTTTTCGTGCTGTTGGATTCATTTGTACTGTTTATGGAAACTTTGAGGAAAAGTGAGAGGAAAAAATGAATAAAACTGACAAATCCCTTTCTGCTTTTTTGTTAGAGCAATTTCAGTGGCCACTTTTTTCCTTTTAAAAGATTTTTTTCCACCTCTTGTGAAAGTTTGAAAAAAAATAATGGTTTCTAAAGCAAGAAGTTAAGAGCATTGCTCTCAAGAGGGAATCAAGTGTCATGTCATCAGTGTGAAAATGAAGAACCAATCTTCTTCATCACCTCATAGATCTCCTTTTTAATGTTACCATTTCCTAATATTTGCTAACTATAAAACTTTGGTATTTTACAGAACTAGTTAACTAAAGCATATGTTTCCTGTATTATACAAAATCAATGACTTATACACATTTACACAAGAACCTTATTGTAGTGGCACCCAGTAGCTTTTCTATAGTTTAGGGTCTGTCAAGCCTTCTATTAAAGCCTCTTAACTTCAGAGCCTCTTATCTTGTTTGTAATAATTGCTTCAGGCTGAAATTTGCATCATAAAAATCCTTGGATAGGAGTGACTTTTTGACTATTTGAAATAGATGAGAGTAAAGAACTAGCTGTTTAAATTATGATTCATAAAAGGGGGGAAAGGAGTTAATAGGGTAAGAAACTTTTTTGCTTACTCATGCCATCTGTGCTATATTGTTACATACAGAAGCTATTTTTCAGATACCTTTTTTTAACTTTAGCCTATTCAGTAGCAGCAACTTGATTGGTATAATGGATTTTGGTGCAAAAAAGAATTAATATGCAAGTAGTACATATACTGGAGTCTACTGAATGTTGGTTTATAGTTTCATAATAACTTGTTGTGTTCAGGAAGCAGCAGTGAAATCTGTCTTATAAGAAACAAAAAGCATATGTTAGAAGGGATTCTAAAAATAACTTATGTGATAGTTGGAGATAATGGGAGATCACCAATAGAATTCATCAAGAGAAATCACTAAATATGTCTGACTTAATTTCCTATCATCCCAAACAGTGAAAGTAAATGTTCTCTTAACTTCCTGTTAGGTTTCTAGGTTTTTTTTAAAGAAAGGAAATCAAATTACAGACAGCAGGTTAAAATAATGTTAAGGGTCTGACTCAAATCCATTAAAGCAAGGAAATTCAAAATTTAATCTGAAACTGTATGCTTAAATTTCCTTCTTGGACCTATGTAATGCAGGGCTCTCCACATAGCAGATGAACATACATGCCATATGAGCTGCAGGAGCTGGGAACAATGGACTAAGTTATGGATGGGGTTTCATTCCTAGCTCTGAATTTCCATACCTCTGTGGGCGTAAGTCAGATCCTTAATATTACTTTAACATACTTTAATGTGGTTTGCTATGCTCCAACTCCATTTTAGGATTTCCATACAAAAGTATCAAATATTTGTGTCTCAAATTATCAGTCAGTCATTTTTAGGTCTTTGTCCTTAATATTTACAGTTCTATGTAGACAGCAGTTTTACCCACCATCTACAGTTCACTGTGAAAAATCTTATATTTTAATATTAAATTTTATTTGTACACATCAGTGCCTGAATACAAACAAGCAAATCTTGTCCATATAGTTTCAGCTGTCTCCGTCTCAGAACACTGTTTATCAGCTACTCATCTCTTACATGTGCTACCCCTGCATGTAACTGGCAAAGTTACTGCCAAATACTTCACTTCTGTTTTAATTTTAAAAGTTGTCAGTAACTTTTTTGGAAACAACAGCACCTCACTTTGCTTTACTGGTATTATGTCAAACAACTCATGTCACTACAACATAGTTCATACTGGGTGCGTTTACACATTCATAAATGTGCCTTAGATACACATTTAGTTTAGTACTTCCTTAATAAAGTACTAACTAAATGTGCAGTACCTAGAGTTACTGCATGTGCGGGGCGGGAGCCAGGTTGTGGCTGTTGCCCCGGTGGGTTCTATCCCCTGTTGTTAAGTTAGCGAGAGGGAGAGGCGGACTTGCAGTGGTTCCAAGTTATTTTCTTTTATTTAGTCTCTTTCTTACACGCGCTCCACTGATGTAGATGTGGCTGCGCAGGCAGTTACCCTTGGGTTAGTCCCCGCCCTAATGAGGGAGGGATATAACGAAAACAAAGAGAATCGGGGATCCACTTATTTATGCACCACCCGGTGTTGAATGTGGCTGCACGTCCCGTCCTGGCTCAGGAGACGGACGAACAAACAACAGACAATTGAGGGATCCGAAAACAATTAAAGCAAATCGATCCGCCCCGGTTTGGGTGAGGGACGAAAAATCGAATCTCAGTTTTGGGTGAAGGGCGAAAACAATAAATCGGTGGACCTTCCTAGATTAAATCGAACTGATTGGCAAATAGTTACTTTGGAAATCGGAGAAGTCGTGGGAAGCTGGCCAGGCCTACCCACCAAGCGATGGAAGCTCCGGCTTCTGGTCAGCTAGCTGAGAGAGCGATGGATGCTCTGGTGTCTGCGCGCTGCTCTGCTGTCCTCTCTGCTCTGCTGGGTGGAAAATTCCGCCCCAGTCTTTATAGGCCAGACGACAAGCCTCACCTCAGACCCTGATTGGTTGATTTTTCCTGCCAAAATGTTCGCAGGCTTTTCCCCAGGGGACGGGGTTTCCCCAGCACATGGCCAGGGGCCATGCAGCAAACCAAACAGGGGCTTTCCCAGATCGCAAGGAGAGTGCTTGGAGGCACCTGTTGCTAGGCAAAGCTGGCAGAGCCCAGCTTGAGCGTGACACTGCACAGTAGCACTGGCACATGGTTATTTAGTGATGCTTGCTGCGCATTTGTGTCTGCACGGTTGGCTGTTAGCTTAGTTTTTGCCATGACATGCTACTAAGCAGTATTATTAGGCTAATATGCAGTAAGTGTTTCATGTAGACACTTATGTGCAGTAAGTGTTTCATGTAGACGTGCCCACTGAAAACTATTGTGGGTGTATCTGTGTGACTATTCTTTGCCATATTCAGTATGTTCTTAGTGGTATGAGTGTCCGGTCTTAGTAATAGGCAAGGACTGGTCTTAGTGATGTGTGTTTTACTTAAGTAAGGTTGAAGACAGCTGAACTTCTGAGTCTGATGAAGCTTATTTACACAAAAAATAATGACCTGCACAGGGTGCCCAGAAAAGATCTTTTAATATTGATTTGCTGGATGTCTTAACTGTGGCATACTTTGAAAAGAACTGTGTCTGAAGAATCTATTTATAAGGCCTTCCACAGTGGAAATGGGGATGTTCTAGTGTTTGCAGTAACAAATGTATACTGCTGGTGTTCTCTTGTAGAATTCTTTATGGTACTAGAATCAGTTAGTGTTTCCTGTCCACATAGGCAGAGACATCTGTGTAATGGAATCCTCTCTGGCCTTTAAATCTGTCAGGAAAGTAGACATGGATCCAGGTGCAGTTTTCACACATCCTGTAAAGGGATTTCATAATCTGTAAGAGGGGAGGAGGGAACCCGACTCTTGTACTCCAGGAGCACCTCCCATAATTTGCCTCTTGGGATCTAGTCATATACAGTTCTTCAAGTTCCAGGAAGCACAGTTGCTTTCTTTTTTGTATTTAAGTAGCTGGTGCAAAGTTCAGTTCAGTTCTGTGGTTTTAACAAAAACCTCTCTATTGCAGTGGAATGGCATCATATGATGCAGTTTGTGTTGCCAGAACCATAGTGCAGACTGAACATAGCTGCTTAATGTGTGAATATTTTTAGGGCATTTATTGAATATTTATATAGTTAGTTGTGCTCTGGAATTTTCTCCTGTGCTAAATTTCCTTTCTAAACTTCCTTGCTGAGCTTCATTGCCTCCCTGTCCAATTTCTGCAAAGTATCTTGGATAAGTTTATTACAGTGGTGACGTTTATAAATGGCTGTTGTCACCAGTTTCATCGTTCTTGAATAGGTACTGTAATTTGAAATCTGTAATACACTTCCACTGCATGTAAATAAATTCTGCATTTTTTTTCTGTGGATACCAGTGACATGGATATATTCAGGGAAGACCTCTGCTACTTGCCTTTCTAGTCTCCCTTTCGGGTTACTTACAATGCCTTTAAGATGCTGGTAGCTGCTATATAACTTTTTACTAAATGATATCTGTCTTGATACTAAGCCACCAGGAAACTTCAGCTGCATCCAGTAAGCCTTCTGCACACTTCGATTCTTAAAGGCCTTAATTAACCTATTCTGGGGCAGCAACGTGATACGGAAATTATGGAATACTGAGTGACTTAATGGCCTGTGTGCCACTATAGTTTCTCTAAGGGAATAGAAAGACATGTTTATAAACGCACATTTATTTCTTTAGGATATTGACCTGCGAGTGAAGTGGCCAAATGATATTTACTACAGTGACCTTATGAAGCTTGGTGGGGTTCTGGTGACTTCTACACTTACAGGAAAAACGTTTCACATACTCATTGGTAAATATCTATTTTTAAGCATTGTTATGCCAGCTTTTTCTAAACCTGTTTTTTCGTTTTGAATGCCTAAGTGAATTCACACTACAAGCATAAGAGCAAACCAAGACAGTAGGCAAGTTGGAATACAAACTATTGTATTCACTAAATCAAGAGAAAACCCAAAAAACTACAAGTGTCTTCACTGATTTATATCACTGCATGTATTGGGCTGAGAGAAACTGAAAACAGTCATCTGCATTGGTATGACAGATCTTAAAGAAGGGAAAAACAGGTATGGACAGTTTCACCTTTGTAGTCATTCACAAATCTAGAGTACTAGGGAGAAAAAAGTACTGTACTAATGCAGCAGTACTAACCCTCAGCAGCTCGGCGTGCGGCCGGCAGGAGAGGTTCCCCACTGGGCTCTAGGATCCCTGAGGAGAGGCTGCAGCCAGCAGGAAAGGCTCCCCAGCTCCAGCAAGGATCTGAGCATCGACCTTAGAGGTTCCTGAGTCTGCTTCCAGCTCCTCCAATCAGGGGACAGGTAGCTTGACACAAAACCGGGGCTCCAGGAAGGCCAAGACCCCTAGCAACTTGGAGTAGTACCAGTACTGGTGGCTGTGTGGTAGATTTTCTGTCTACCACATAGGAGATCTGAGTTCAAGTCCTAGCTTTGGTGACTTGGGGCGAGTGAGCTAACAGGGAAAAATTCCTCTTGCAGTGGAAAGGGGCCATTGTGCTTTCTCCCCCTCCAGGTACGAAGGCCCTATATTCCTTGTAATTTGACAGTTTGTATTTTGTGCCTTTTGTACTTCCAGTAATACCAACCAGTATGGTTTGTTCTGCTGTTTGTGTTTTACATTTTGGTTAACCCTGTCTTTTGTCAACTGGATGAATATGTCTATGATTGTAAGTATCTAAACTTTGTTGAATCCTGCCCCTTTGGGGCATTGTAGTGTCCCCTATACCCCCTGGTTTATACTGGTTATGTATCCAGTATTGTTCCCTCATTAAAAGATATATGGTTAAGTCCCCATTGGTGGTCTGGCTCTGCTTTATAGGGGGAGGAGAGTCCCTACACCTCCCACAGCACTTGTGCACCTGCTTTGATCCCTTCAATTGGAGAGGAGCACCTCTTGGAGTACCGTCCGGGTTACATTTTGGGGGCTCGTCCGGGATTCCCGTATAATGGGTGCTAGAATATTATTCAAGCGCTGTGTACCCCTGTAGAGAGAGAGAGAGAGCCACCAGGAGACATGTCCAATGCCGACCAGTCTGCCGTACCCTCCGGGTGTGATGGGACTGTGCAGGGGGGAGCGGGGCAAACTGCTGGTACTGAAGCTACCCCAGAATGTGTGAGGGTTTTCCAGGAGATTCTGTGAGAGGTGACCCGTTCCTCCAGTGATCAGGCAGCCTATAAGAGACTCCAGAGTTTCTTGGGAGCCCTTCCAGTCCCTGCAGGTGAGGAAGGATTCGATTCTTGACTCTCCCATATTCAAGAGACTTTACTGACTTGGCAAATACCTGATGAGAATAAGCGACACCGTCTGCTGGAGGTCCTGAGGGAGCCTGCCTTTGGGGTTGTGAGGACTGCCAAACTCCAGAACCCTGCTATCACCACCCAGCAATGC